ATATATATATATATATATATATATATATAAACTTTTATTAGCTTTCATTAGCATTTGAAGCTGTATATTTTCTATCTTCTTCACACTAAACATGTGTGACTTTTAGGACACTCGTCATACAATAATGTAATTATCTCAATATTGTTTCTGAAATTTTCTGGAGGATACAGTTCATGTTCATTATAGTAATTGACCAACATGGTTATCTTTATGCTACTACAACTATCATTATCATAGCCTTTAATGAGAGGAAAGGGTGCATCATAGGGCAATAACCAAGACACGTCAAATGGGCTAACTTAGACAATCTTTCCAAAATCCAGGATTCATGACTTCTGAGAGAATGAAATTTGGAGAGAGGGTGGCTGCTTTAGCGCTTCTGGTGGTGACTGGGCTGCTGCTGGAGTCACTGGACCTTCATTTTTAACTTTCTGTGACAAATTCCCAGTCAGTCTCACAATCCCTCAGTCTCTCACCCACTCAACAGCAGCCACTTATCTGCTTGCCTGACATGGGAAGGGAAGGGAGGGAGAAAGGGAATGACAGGATGATAGGGAAGGAGGCAGGGAAGGAAGGAAGAAGGAGGGAGAAAGGGTAGAAAGAAAGGGAGGGAGGGAAGAAAGAAAGGGTGGAAGGGAGGAAGATTTCCAATGTTTTCTGTCAGCTTCCTATAAGGAAACACACTGGGGAAGCCAGTTGCTCCTGCCCCTACTGGGGTTTTTTGGCCTACCCATGATCATTCTGTTTCTCTGCTGATGTCAGGAAATATCTCTGAAATGACGTCCCAACAGGGCACATGTTATTTAAAACCTGTAAAAATCTAAAACGATAAAGTACCAAGGAAATTACGAACCAAAGGGAAAGCTAAAATAGAGGAATCAGTGAGTTTACCATGTTTGAAACCCTTAATTATCTTTTTTCCTGGTTTTAATTGCTGCTAGGTAAAGTCTAACACTAGTTGTGATAAACAGTGAAAGTAGAAAACGAAGAATAAAATAGTTCATTATGATGTATAGAGCATGTCATTAAAGGAAGCATGAAAGTTTCTCAACTATAATGGCCATATGTACAATATAGTCAAAGAAGATCTGGAAGTAAATTATGCTTAAGATATAAAAGAAGGTAGCCTCTAACTTACCTGCAGTGTTGATAAGTCCTCTGAAGCTCGGGTTGTGATGGCTGGTTGAACATCTAAAACATTGTAATTTCGGAAGAGATTTTTTAGCTGTTCTTTATTCTCATCAATCATCTGTATGACTCTGAAAAGATGGTTAAACATTTCTTAATTTTTACCATTAATTAAGGCTAATAAAATACAGAGTTCATTACACCGTCTCATTAACCATCTCCTCCCTGTATACTCTACATATCCTAAATGTATACCTTATAACAGGAGTGGGCAACTATGGCGCCTTTATGACCCGTGGACTTCAGCTCCCAGAATTCCATGGTTGGCTCAGGAATTCTGGGATTTGAAGTTCACAGGTCATAAAGGGGCCATAGTTGCCCATCCCTGTTCTATAAGGTTCAAGACAATCGGCTTCAAAAGCACTTTATTAAGTTGTAAAAGAGAAAAATAGAGTGAATAATCAATGTGTTATTTTATTTGATTGGCCATCTGTAATCAGCAGGGAATTTAGAGTCAGCTAAATTCAAGAGGTTTTGTGCATAGTAATAACAACCATAGTAGCAGTAATATGTTTTGAAAATAGCTGTCTAATCAGAAAAGTGATTTGTTTAAATGTTTCTTACAGTCAGAAGAGACTGCCCTTGTTGGCACAAGATCAGCTAGTTTGGGATCTGCCGATCAATGCATATCAAGGTAGAATGCTTACCTTTCTACATCAAGTATCCTATTGGTCTCTCGGTTCACCACATGGATTAGCAATTCCGTTTGGGCAAAATTGACACGGCCTTTTTTGTCAACATGGAACTACAGGATGAAAAAAAAACAACAACCCAGACTATTGGCAGAGGTTTTGTTTTCCTTTAGCTCAGAGATCTCCAAACTTGGCAAATTTAAGACTTGTGGACTTCAGCTCCCAGAATTAGCTGGCATAGCTGGCTGGAGAATTCTGGGAACTGAAGTTCACAAGTCTTAAAGTTGCCAAGTTTGGGGACCCCTGCCTTAGCTCAAGGATCAAGAGCAGAACTTATCAGAAAATCCATATGTTCCATTAATGCGAAACATACCTGCACGTCATCTGTATTGACAATGGC